CACCTTAATCTAAATATTTTTCCCATTGTTATGTTTCCTTATAATTTGTTTCTGTTTTTTCCCTTATTTTTGTTTTCTGCGCAATCTAACATGTTTCATGTACAGCAAACCGATTGTACGATACAGTTTTTATTCTTCAATATAATGAGGCGATGAGAGATGCCGGGAGTACGAGCGGAGTGGTTCTTCCTCAGATCAACAGTTGGCAGCAGGCCGCACCCCCTTCACCTCTCCTCCCTGTCCCTCCCCCAGGCGGACAGGCGGAGCTATTTTCAACCCGCATGCCACGGCAGGGAGCTGCGCCATGCTGCGGCGCCCAGGGGAGGGCCCCAGCAGCGGGGCGGGGCGCACGTGTTGATGTAAGGTGGTTGAGGACTCCCTTCCCTTGCCTCGGCTCGGCCTGTAAGCCCGAAAGAACAGCTCACGGAATCACTGCATACCGTGTCCACACTGTGGTCAAGCAGCGGCGGCAGGTTCAGAGATGAGTTGGATGAGACCAGGGGGCGGTGTCGGCCCCATGGTGTAAGACTTGACCATTGGCTTATCATGCACAAACCTTGCTTTTGGTACCCTTATAAGACTGATTGGCCATGACTATGGAGCTATGGAGGCGAATCGGCAACAGGACCATAACGCCCGCGTCCTGCGAGTGAAGATAACATACCCCCCCCCCCTCTTTTCCATTGGGGCAGGTGGTGGGTCGGTTACCCTGGGAGGGTAGATACTGTGACTCTCTAGCGACCTCTAGTTGCATAAGAGTAGGAGCAGTAGACCCCCCTCCCACCCACCTTCCCCCGGAGATGAGTCGGAGTAACATAGGTGGCCTACCCGCGCGGCGGACGGAGCTGGGGCAAGATGAGTAAGGCACACGGGCACTGGGGTCGGGGATCTCTCTACTATCTGGTTGGTGAGGGAAAGGGAAAAGGAAATTAATGTACGCAGCTTCAAGATTATTGTTATATTATGTTTTTTTAATATCTCATACTACAATGTAACTAGAAAGTGAGAAGCCATAAGGCCTCATGAATTGCCCAATTACAGTATTTCTTGTTCTTAAAAAAAAGATTCATATTCCTATGCTTGCTTTGACAAGATCCACTCGCAGCCCATTGCTTTCATTTGCTTTTTAAATTTACCGATTGTTTACTCTAAAATAGTATGCAGCTCTCAGGGTAATTTTTGGAACTTAACTTAATCACACGAACACAAATCAATAGCTACCAAGTTCTCTCTTTTTCAAATAAAAAGAAATATGCACCTACACAATTATTTGTTATCTCTGATGCATGAGGAATAAACGATCAGAAAGCTAAGCCAAATAAAAATTTCCACTCATACTCTGCATATTTATATAAAAATATTCTCTCTACTTTACATAGCGTGCTAGCTAGTCACATTGGATGCATTAGTGCAGAAGGCACACTGGCTATCCTGTGCTTAGTCTAGCATGCATTCAGGCAGTCGTTGCTGGTCTCTGGCTGTCTTCCCAAGTAACCAAGAGGCTTACTAGCCCCCAAGACAAAGGATCAGACAAAATTAATCAGGTCCCCTAGTTCCTCCGATATTTACACCTACTTCCTGCTCTGTCTCCCCCTGATGATTATGCTAAAGTGCAAAATTTGGGTGCAACTAATTACATGTAGTCATCAGAGGGATATGAAGCAGTTTATCAGTCCAGCTTGGAAGCAGATAAGGATGATTTGCAAGTTATTCAGTTATTCACAAACCTTCACTGACTTCTAAGCTTTCAACCTGACAATTTCTAACAAAAACTACAAAAACAAATACATCTTGTCCAAACTGGATTAAAAATACAAAACAGTATTTACACATCATTATTTTTTCTTTTAAATAAATAATTATCTGATCTGGGCAGATATAAGTTTTGATACAACAGAATTGTTTGAGAAACAAGAATAAATCTGGGTGCTGACTGCATGCATTTTGGTTGGTTTAAAAAATACCAGAAGAAGAACATAGAAATAAGGCACAATAATTTAGAGATCGGCGCATTCAATCAATGTAATTTCCTCATTTCCTTGAAGTGGACCTCTTCCTTGCACTTTCTCACTTGAAATTGCTATTATAACAAGCTTTAGACAGCTTAGCATCAAGTTTGTGACACATTTCCTCTAACTACCTAATGTCAAACAATATCTTTCTCTCGCCCTTAAAAATTATAAGTCTTTGGCAAGGTGGAATTTAAAATATATACATTTAATATACACCTACAATTTAACATTTCAAGCACTCATTTACACAGCAAATAAAACAAATAATACCACCATCTGATAATTTTGTGGTCTTCGAGGTGAAATTCGGTAGAGGTGAGCAAAAGGTACTGGAGAGCTGCATCACTTTCTTTTAAAGCAATAGGTATGAGCTAGGAACATGAAATTTACTGTCAAAGCAAGCTCTGTACTGAGTAAGGTTGTGGAAAATTACAGAGAAAAGTTGTATTGACAGATATTTCTATACTTATCCATAATTGTCTTTCAGAGCATACAATTTTACATTCTTTGGAATTTAGGTACTTCTTGTGTTATTTGTCTTAAAATCATAATTAATGGCACTGTTTGGATGGAGTGCCATGACAGGCTGTAGTAAGATATAAAACGTTTAGTAAACATGGATATATGTTACAGGTATAACTTAACAATGTTTTACCTTGAATTCTTGTACATTTTATTACAATCACAAAGTTGAAAATAGAACAAAGCAAAAACAGGTGGCTACAACCCAAGACACTTTAAAAAGAAAAAAAAGACCAGCAAATTAGAAATCTATGACTAGACACTGAAGTATGAAAAGTAATTTCACACCACAATATTTTAAGAGACTTGAGCAATTTTATACCTTAAAAGCAGAATATGAGTGACGGTTTTTGCAACTGTTTACACACGTCCAAATTATCTCATACAATAATGAATTAAAAATCGCATTAAAAAACTAGGTAGATGTACGCCAGACCACGTCTCGCGTAACAGGCTTCGCGATATCTCACGAAACACTGTTACGCTGCGACGCGCCTGGCATACATCTACCTAGGCCTGCGGCGCTGACACCCGAGTCGGGCCAAAGTCGTAAGTAGGCACTCGGCCCCAAAAGTCACAAATTTTGTTCTTCGGGGTTTTATTTTTACGAGTTACCCTACCGGAGACCAACAAATATGTAAGAGAAAACATAGAAATGTTTTGCGGTCATTTTCGTGAAGAAAACTCCCTCTGGGGCCTTAACGGTTAGAGATAGAGCCAAACGGCCGAAATTTTCGCCCGAAGGGCTCTACTTTGATGAGTTACCCCTTAGAAAACATTAAAAAAAATATTTTTAAAAATGTCATTTTGAGGACCTGTGGTTTTTGATTTTTTTTAAATTCAATTTTTGTGCTAGAATGCTCTTCTTCGAACTTGATCTGTCTTTTTATGACACAAAACGACCCTGAAAATCCCAGGTCGCTAACTCAATTCGTTTTCGAGTTATCGTGATGACAGACAAACAGACACACACACACACAGACAGACAGACGCGAAACTTTTTGATCATCACTGGAGTAATAGGCTTCGCTAATCGCTCAGCCAATAATAATGTGACAGGAAGACTGAAAATTAGCTTTGTAGGTTTACCTATACTGAAGAAAAGGTTGCAGCAAAAGATAAACTAAATTAACAATATTAAAATAAAATTTTACATAGTTTTCAAAATGACTCTACTCTAAAGATGATCTGATATGACTTAAAAATTTAATAGAATTCCCTACATTACCTACTTTTACAAAATTGTTGCCTTAAACAGTATAGATTTCAATGTGGAAGAACAATGGTTGCCTTTTTGAGAGCAGAAAAATTTGATAAAACTTCATAGATTTCATTAAGTGACACATGACTACTCAAAAAGAACAAAACCTTAAATTCACAACACAAATATGCATTTAAAAAATTAATTTGGCGATGAATGAGCGAATTATTTGAGACCAGTTTAGGTGATCACTGTAGGCTCCTGGCGACCTGTGAACTCCTTAAGCTTCGACAATTCTAGAGCAATCTCCACCAAAGGCTTCAAAATATCCTGCAAGTATAAAATATTTAATGTGACTAAAACTCTTTCACTTTACATAGGTCCATAAAATAATAATTTTCAGTTTTTAAAATACCTGAGCATCAGCAGAGTGTTTGCTTTTGTCAGACTCATAGCTATCCACATACATACGGACAGTCGCACCAGAGCTGCCAGTTCCACTAAGACGGAATATGAGGCGAGACCCATCCTCAAACAAGACTCGAATCCCCTGCAAGACAAGAAGGCATTGTAAAACTAATATTTTAACAGCATATTAATGTGAAAATCGTTGATAGAAATATCACACACCTGCTTGGAAGCAGCACTTTTGTCAATTGGGTCAACGTAGGAATAGTTATCTCCAGCTTTCACAACATAGGTTTTCCCACCATTGCTGTATTTAGTGCCTGGGAATGTGGGGGAAGCAACTAGTTCTTCTAATTTCTTAATCATTTCATTGCAGGGATCAGCGGCACAGTTTTCATAGTCATACCTAATTTTTTTTTTTTTAAATTTCAGGTCAGAGTTCAGTTGCAGAATACAAAGGCAGAGTGGAATTTATCTAATAAAAGGTTACCTTGTGAAAAAGTTTC